GCGTGTGTGTGTGTGTGTGTGTGTGTGTGTGTGTGTGTGTGTGTGTGTATGTGTGCTTGTGGGGAATGTCATAAAATAATGTGCAAGTGTATATAACCAAACAGTGTATAATAATATAAATGTATTAATTATTAATATTATTGGTATTTATTGCATAATATAAATTATAAATATTATAATTTAGATTTCATTTAGATTGCAATTCCTTTTAAAATTTAAGAAATTGTTTTATAATAAAATTGTATAGTATTACTTATATTTAAATATTAAAATGATATTTTATATTTATTTTTTGTGGGTTTATTTTGATTTTGAATTAAGACTGACATATTCTTGATAAAAATAGAGAATCACACTCTCTAGGCGCTTGTTCCCAGTTTGTGCTCACAGAATGCCATTTAAAGTTTTTAAAAGCATTTGCTTCTCTTGCTGAGTTGAACGTAATCAATTACCTGTTAAATATGGAAAACTAATATCTACTAGAAAATCTGCCCATGGGATCGTAAACTATACTGAAAAATATCCCACTGTGAGTTTGATTAGAGCCACGGATTTGCAGATAAGTGGCCAATTTTGACAAGACTATTCTTTGGGTTAACTGACTTGTTTCCTGCCGTGATACATTTTAAATAGTAGGGTGCCACTTTCAAAGTGACAGTGTTTAAAGGGTAAAGTTTTATGATATGCAAAAGGAAAAAGAGGCAAATCTGACTCTTTTTGAATTTGTGATGGTACATTTTAAAAAAGCTGTTCTTTTTCCCATGTCCTGACAGTTTTAGTGATCATTTGTGTCAGCCATAATGTTGTGAATAAATTATGAATACAGCAATGTCCTTGAGTAGGGGCAAAGATGATAAAATGATGATGTAAAAGGTTTGCTCATTCAAAATTGAAAATACTGTCATTATTTCCTCAAACTCATGTCGTTCCAAACCTGTGTGGCAGGATATTCACACTGCTCTTTTCTAGGATTGAGAATTGAGAACTGATCTAAACAACAACATAAAGCTTAAGCCACTGAAAGCAGTTTCCACAACATTTCTGATCTGAAACACACACCTTTAGTGTCCACAGTCTCACCCTGAATAACATGGTGAGAATTGAATCTGGTTGAGTAGATTGAGTCTCTTGACTGGTCACAGTGAGGCCTTTTTGGGAAGCTGTGGACTCAAGTGCATCCTGTGTCCAGGTTTTGGCTTTCTAGTGCCAGTCCTTGGCAGCTCTGAGAGAGAGGGCATTGTTCAGACCACACATGTCCTCACCACATGGCATGTACAGTATGCCATGCAAACCATGCCAGTCCCATATGTGTGTGTTCGAATTTGTGTTTGCAGAGTTTAAGTGCAGGTTGTCCGATTATTATGGCTTGAAAAGTTTTCTTGTGCTGTCTTTCTGTAAAATAAATGCAAGATGCATGGACATTCAGATATTTTTTAAGTGTGCCGCAAGAGCTTGAATACGATTTGGGGCTAACATAGGTGGTTTTACAGTTAAAGATCTCTCCTGTTGACTTGAATATTTTCATGCTTGAAATAAATAGACCGTCTCAGTTCAGTCTGAAACAAGCAGACTTGATTTAAACACTTGATTTCCTCTCCCCTCTTCTCTCGTTTAGGTTATTTTTGAGGCTGTGTCTGTACAAGGGCATCCTGGGTTCATCGCAGTGGATGAGATACACGTTTTGGCCCACCCTTGCCGTGAGTACACACATACATACACACACACAGCGCCTGCTTACTTTCACAGTCTTGGCTACGCTGTAGGAGTTCAGTCTGTCAACTACTGTGAAAAGCACTTCATGTGGATCGAGGGTTGAACAGAGATGGAAAAGGCCAGCAAACAAGCAGGTCTGTGCTGAGGATGAGAGATAGAGGGAGACAGATTGCAGAGCTGAGTGCTCAGACTTCAGGCCCCCATCATTCTTGTTGTGACAGGAGAACTTTAGCCTTTGACTTCCATTGTCCTAGATCTCTCTGTGTCACTAATGTAAAGCCAGCAGTGCCGATGAAGAAATGAGGTTAATTCATATTGTAGAAGTGAACATGACCCCTGGTCTTATTGTGCATGATTCATCATTGCACGTCATAAGCATTTTATTCACATTCAGAATCCTTTTCCCTCATGTTTGATTACAGAAGTAAAATGGGTTTTGAATGACAAATAACGTTAACCTTTTTTTTTTTTTAAGTTACTGTGTACACTCAGATGACATTCCTTCCATTTCCAGTGTCACTAATATTTTTTTTCTGTTCAACATTGTTTTGTTTTTTTTAGACAAATGTGCAAAGTGCAAAATGACAGTTTTTACTTCCAGAGATGATAACAGACAGCTAATGTAAAGTGGCCATGTGCCATTTACATTTACATGTAATCATTTAGCAGACCCTTTTATTCAAAGAAAAGTCATTCATCTCAACAACTGGCATAGTTTTACATTTAGTGTTTGCAAAACAGTAAATAGTGTATATTGCACCGTATGCAGTAAGCTAGTATTCCATTCCACATAACCAGAATTTTCAATAAAAATGTAATAAGAACTGAGTTGAAGGAACACAAGCATAGATCATGGAAGCATCTTATCTTGACTTTCTTATTTTTTTACTTGCCGTAATAATAATAGTGGGTCATTTTAAGATTCCTTCATTAAATCTGAACGCTTTTCACGTTATAGCAGAGTTACTAAAAAAGAAATCTATATTCTCAGTGACTTTAATTGAAAAAGATTGATATTGCTTTTGTGCAGAAATGCATGCACAGATAATAAAGCTGGCAGAGAGAGTGGGTGGAGACTGCTGTACTGAAAATCAAGAGTTCAGCTAGTGCAAGAGTTAAGCTTCTCACAAATGCACCTGTAAACCTCTATGCACCTGTACATGCAAATGAGAGAATGTTTATTGGAAATAATATTGAATACAAATGTGAGCTCCATTAAATTTCTTGTTTTCAGATGGTGATTCTAAACGTACAATCAGAAAACCAGACAGAAACCATGTTCACCATCACACAATACAAGAAGTGAAAGGAGCACTTACAAAATTAGAATGTCATGTCAATAGATACTATAAAAGATAGTTTCTTTGATATTTTGTAAGAAATGTTAACACAAGTACACTTCATAAGGTAAATATTTCACAAAAAGATATTTGTTAGGTTTGAAATTATAAAACAAAATGCCATAAAACAATATACCAGTCAAAATTTAAACACTTTATTGTCGTCAAATATTACTTGGGTAAACTTGTAAGCTTTTTTGGGCCACTGCATAGTTGACCACCAGTGTCTATAGAGCACATGTGCTGTATATCATTTGCATGGATGCTGTATTATGATTTTTTTTAAGGTATATGTGTTTTGTTTGTAGGCAAGACACCACATTTTCTGCGGCTGCAGAATGTCGAGGTGAACGTGGGACAGAATGCCACCTTCCAGTGTATTGCTGGAGGCAAATGGTCACAACATGACAAACTCTGGCTACAGGTGAGTCAGTACACAACCTCACACACACACATACTTTATGCATTCACATATAATCTCACATAAAGGGACAGCAACATATATTTTTTTAATAACATTATTTTTTGTGTGTGATATTTCTTATTTTGTTGAGCTATGTGCTGCCTGTTTTGGCCAGGACCCGCTTGCTTAAATCTCAAGAGTAAAAATAAAAAAATACCCATAGAAACATTCAGTGACGAATCAAACCTGGTTTGATTATAGCACTGAAACAAATTATACTTGGGACCAACTTTATTATGTTACAGCAAAAAGTTCGTGTTTTTTAAATTGTTTTTATTATATTTATGGTTTGGTTCAAACTAGGGCTGCACGATAAATCGCATGCGATATTTAACGCGCATCTTGTCAGAAAGCCGGTTCTGTAATCAGCGGTAAATCTCCATCACCTGCGGGCTTTCACATTGAGCAGCATTAACTACACAGAGCCGTTGTTCACTGACGAGCAGCGCAAAAAATCGCGCGAATATGGACGTGGTTTTGCGCAACTCGTCAGTGAACAACGGCTCTGTGTAGTTAATGCTGCTCAATGTGAAAGCCCGCAGGTGATGGAGATTTACCGCTGATTACAGAACCGGCTTTACTGATAAGATGCGCGTTAAATATCGCATGCGATTTATCGTGCAGCCCTAGTTCAAACCTTGTTTCCTTTCCCAAAGTCAAAGAGATTCATACAAAGATAGTACAAAGATTATTTATTATAAAGACCATACCATACTGAATTCATGTATTATCTTTAGACATAAGCCAAAATGTAACTTAAGGTCTGTCTGTCTGTCTATTTTTACAACTGAATTTCACCATAAACAAAATCTACATTAGCTATAACATGAATATAGATTTTTTTTTAACTTAAACTAAAATATTTTGTTAGTCAATGTTTAATTTAGTTTACTTACTATGAATAAAGACAAGTTTGAAAGACCTTAATATTTATTGTGACGTTTTCTGAAATACGCAGTATATTTTTGTGTCATGTACACATCAGTAGAGTTTTATTTGCTTTTTTTATTGGGGATTTATTAACAGAACAAAACAGGTTTAAACCGGAAACCAAGATTTTCAATTAGACCAATATAATATTTTAAATAAATTACACAATCGTTTAACTTTTTTTTAGTGTACATGCTCAAAATGTTTATTTTTTATCTCTGAGCATCTCTATTATGTGTGTGTGTGTAACGTTCACTTCATTTGCATTGGGAGGTTTTGAACCTTTGTCCTGAGATACATTGCTTGAGGAAACTTAATAACTTGTTGGAGATTATTGCCAGCAGGATTTCTAAGCCAGCATCTGTGTCCATGAAGTCTTGGATAAAATTACTTTTTCCCTTGGCTGGAGACTATAAGCCTCCATCTATCCTGTGCTACAGCTCTGAGACATGAAGACATAACACCAGTTCTCATTGTGCGCAGTGTGCTTTAAGAGCTTGTGCCTTTGTCTTGATGTGGCACTATGTTCCACTTTGTAAAACAAAGAAATGAAAAAAAAAAAATGATGTGTGCATATAATCAGTTACATGGTGTTGCAAGGATGATTATTTTTCTGTTTTTCAGCAATGGAATGGTAAAGACACGTCTCTCATGGTGACCCGAGTGGTGAACCATCGGCGCTTCTCCGCTACCGTTAGCGTAACGGACACGTCACAGCGCAGCACCAGCCGTTACCGCTGTGTCATTCGTTCTGATGGAGGATCTGGAGTTTCAAACTATGCTGAACTCAGCGTTAAAGGTGCGTACGGACACCTGCAAACATTTATGCCACTGAACTAAAATATGATTGTGAATTTGTAATGATGATCTAATTGCTTTTGGGTAGGGCTGCACAATTAATCGAAATTAAATCGCAAAGGCGATAAATCGCGATTAGGAGGAAGCTGCGATTGTCATGCGTATCTTTCAGTGAAGCGCGGTTCTGTGATCAGCAGTAAATCTCCATCCGAAGGCCAGAGGGTGCTCTCGCGCTGAAACTCCAAATACGCCTCGCAGAAGAAACCCAGGAAATGCCTATAGCGGTTGCTGAATAAACAGAAGATTTAACTGCTTTCATTGATTCAACGTTACTAATAAACACACGACTACAACAATATATGGTTTATCCGAGTTCATCTTAATAAAGTATATAATAATGCAATGCTAATCAAGCCTTTATCACTGCTTAAAATACTATGAAATATGTTGCGTGCCTTACTACACAAACAGCTATCATAATCGCAGAACGATTTCTTCGATTTCATATTATATCGTCTGAGAATATGAATGCTATTTTGCATAGCTTGTCAGAGAACTACGACTCTGTGTAGTAAATGCTGCTCCATCTGAAAGCATGTGATGGAGATTTACTACTAATGCCAGAACCGGCTTTACTGACAAGATGCGCATGACAATCGTATTCGATTAATCGTGCAGTCCTACTTTTGAGCCTTACATGTAGTATTTGATAAGTTCTTCTTGATTAATCAGTCTGGCCGATACTTGGCCACATAAAGAGTTTATTATGACCTATTCAATTCTGTTGGATGACAGGCATTATCTATTACAACAGCATCCTCCTCATGTCAATCAGCCAATCACAGCAAAGAAAAAGGAAGTGCTGTTTAAAGTGAAAATGTAAAAAAAATATATTTTTTTTATATCTATATATTTCATAATAATGTCATATTTTTAGTTTTAAATGTTTTTATATTAGCATTTGCACTTTTAACAGTATATTTAATATAACCAAACAACAACTATTATTATTGTTTTTGTTTTTAATAATAATAATTTTATATTAAATGTTTGTTTTATATACATTACATTAAACAAAATATTGCATAGACATTATTATAATTATTATTAATATTATGCAGTGTAACTTATAATTTGCATACTAGAATTTAAATATTAATGAAGTTTAATTTAGTTCAAGTTCAAGTAAAATCAAAATTACTTTTATTTAGTTTAGTTTAAGACTTTTTTTTTTGTACAATGCACATTCACCATTCTTGTTCTGTTGTCTGAAAAATTTTACTTTGATTTTATGCAAATTACCGTAGCTCAAATTTCGTAAATGTGGTCCAGTATTAAGAGATGCTCTCTCGTTGAGAGATACTCACCAAAACACACACACACACACACACGCCCACACACACACACACACACACACACACACAAAGCAAACCCAAAATACAGCACTTATAACCGGCATCAGCCGTCAACAGCAGGATTCCTCCTGAATTGTTACCCACAGAGTGATCATTATTTCAGCTAGAATTGCTAACGACTAGTACAGAAGCCTTGATTCTCCTCCGTTTCTTAAGATAATGTGGTAGAGCCTCAGCCTCACTACACAGACATTGTCCCACTTAAGCAGAAATAACAGAAAGCTTTGTTCTCTTTCTACAAGCCTTGTTAGCATGTGGTCACTGGACTTGAGAGAAATGCTAGCATCTGTTTGGCTGTAGCTGTGCCATGTGTGACTTAGCATGGCCAAAAACACCTTTAGTGGTGCTCTTTACCCCTGATAAGCTTTGTCTGGGATTCAAGCCTGTCTGCCCATATGGCACTTGGAAGTAAAAAAAGGAGAAATAACTAACATCTAACAGTTTCTCACTGCTGCTTTTGGAAAAAGACACGATTAAACCCTTTAATCACTACAGAGACATCAGTAATTGTTCTTAGTCTTTATTAGGAGCTGTTATTATTCATTTCAGATAGCAATAGATTAGATAAATTGGCTTTTTACAAAGTATTAGAACATCGTTTGACCAATAATTCAACATCCCCTCTTTATTTCTATGTAGAGTGCGTTTTCATTTAGACTGATACGCAATATATCAACATTTTTTCAAAGTTTCAATGTCAAATTAGGTTTATGTGAGTGCTAGCTGTGTTAAATTAATATGTCAGCACTGTTAAGCATATTTAATATATCTCATTTATTAGAAATATGCTAAAATTAGGTTATCCGTTCAATATTCTCTGAACCTAAACAGAGGATTTTGTATTTCTGTGGTGCCATGCATTAAAAAGCCATCCATATGCTATTGTATGTGTTGGTGTCTATTCAAATGTATGAATATCTATGAATAATAATGAGATGACTAAAATAAATTATTTTAAGGTAGACTGGGCAATAATGTAATTGCTGTGCCACTAGTCAAATTGCAGAAATAATGTTTTCAAGTAGGTTTCTCAAACACTTCTTGCACCCCTTCTGCCATTGTTAGACCAAACTGACTGTCCCATCTCAAACTAGCACCAGTGGTTCAAAAAGATATATATTTTACGTGCATGTAGTTGTCTGTGCAGATTAAATTCTGACTCAAAGAATCATTCAAACAGAACTGAATCTTTGACTCAGACAGAAAAAGTAAGTTTAAGGCCTGACAAACCTACATTACAGTTGGAACCACTCGAGTTCCCAGGTGTACCCAGCATGACGGCGGATCTAAAGCTTCTCTTTGCAGATGATTTAGCATTGCTGTCGCTGCTAGAGCAAGCACTGCGGGGCAGTTTCAAGTCCTGTATTTGCTCTGCAAGACCTGGTTGTCCCAGTATAATTTGGGGAAACTTTAGAAACCCAGAACCAGGTAAAAACTTCACAAACATCATTTGATTGTTTGTTAATGCCTTAAATAGTTTACATACTGTTCATAATTTAAATATGTGTGCTTTAGATTGCGTATGTGATGTGACTTTCATTATTTGAATATATAGACTACTGTTCAAAAGTTTTTTGTTTTTTTTTAAGAAATTAATGCTTTTATTTAGCAAGGATGCACAAATTTGATCAAAAGTGACAGTAAATGCATCTTCTTTTGAACTTTCTATTCATCATTGAATCCTGTAAAACACTGCTTCATGGTTTCCACAAAAATATTAAGCAGCATAACTGTTTTCAACATTGATAATAATAAGAAATGTTTCTTGAGCAGCAAATCAGCATATTAGAATGATTTCTAAAGGATCATGTGACACTGAAGACTGGAGTAATGAGGAATAAATTACATTTTAAAATATAGTCAAATAGAAAACAGCTATTTTAAATTAATTGCATTTTAATAAAATATCTGCAGCCTTTGTGAGCATAGGAGACTTACTAACCCAAAACGTTTGAATAGTAGTGTTTGATTGGTTATAATTTTAATGACATCGATTTTAAGTGCAAATGGACATAGGGCCATATTTTAACGATCTAAGCGCATGGTCTAAAGCGCACAGCGCAAGTGCACTTAAGGCGTGTCCGAATCCACTTTTGCTAGTTTAATGATGGGAAAAACGGTCGGCGCGCCGGGCGCATGGCTAATCTCTTAATGAGTCATGGGTGTGTTTTGGGCGTAATGTGCAATAAACCAATCAGAGTCTCATCTCCCATTCCCTTTAAAGTCCAGTTGCGCTCGCGCCATGGCGGATTCGCTATTTACATGGCGGAATTTGCAAGAGCAAAGACTGAACGCTTCTCCAGAGAGGAAAGATTCTGCTCATGCGTGAGGTTAAAGCGCGCGAGCAGGCCATCTGCTGGGCACAATAATAATCTTACATTGTAATCCTTTTGTTTTTAATATTAGGCATGCTTTTGTTGCTGCACGTCCCTGGGTGTGTAATAAGCAGAGTGTAGGCGCGTTGTTCACCCGCCTATAGGCGCATATTACTAGCGCACTATTTAATTAACAAAAAAAAAATTGCGCCATTGACTTTAGACCAGGTTTCAGTTGGTCAAAGGCGCAGTCTATTTCAGTTGCCTCAAAATAACAACACGCCAACAATGCGCCTGAACACACCTCATTTTCAGACCAACACGCCCATGGGCGCGCAAATGCATTTGCTATTTAAACAACGTGGCGCAGGACGTGAAAATGATAACTGCGTCGGGCTGAAACTAGCAAAAAACACTTGCATTGCGCCGGGTGTATGATAGGGCCCATAGTCTCTTATCATTGTCATCTTATGAAGCTGTATTTCTAAAGCACAGGAGAGTCATTTATTAAGCTTCTACACTGCAAGTAAGTTCAACATTATCCTGTGATACAGTGTGAGGCATGCAAGTACTCTATTGTCAAGGCTGTTATCCGTCATTTCAAGCTGTGATTTATGAGGTATTCTGCTGGAATTCTACATTTTATTAAAGACCACTAATGTGTAAATGAACGGAAAGATCACATCTAGGGTTTCAGAGTAGCTATGCCAGGACGGGATGTGCAAAGCTACATATTTTTGAAATTATTGCGTCCCCTTATTCATGATAAAATGAAGTTGTTAAACTGGCTTTCCACAAAATACGAAGTAAGTGTCACCCCTTTATTTATACGTAAAGTGTATTTGTAGCACACATTTTTTAAAGTTTGAATTTAGGCTGATAAGTGCAATATCAAATTTTCAGTGTCAAACTAAGTCACTGTTAAGCATATTATAATAAATCAAAATGTATTTCAAATATGTTTAAATTACTCCATCAATTTTTGTTGTCTGTGTAGGTTCACAAAATCCTCTGTGAACCTATACAGAGGATTTTGTATTTCTTTGAAGTCATGCATAAAAAAAAAATGTCTATATGTTGATATTGTATGTATTCATAGTGTAAATGTTTTTGTTAGACACAAAGCCAAACTTTAGTGTCTGAAACCTCATTAACCATGGTAAAAATAATTCTAACTCCTCATGGTTTATTATGAAATGATTGCAACACATGATATAAGATGGCAATGTTCATTGAATAGCTATGATTATTAATTATATAAAATTATGATA